ATGCATCCTTTACGCTAACGCACCAGTTTAACCCGTCCTTTGGACTTGCTGGGAATGTTCAAAAATTGTTGAAAGTACTCTGCGTTAATTAATTAGTATTAATTAGTGCTTTATCTAAGGAATCAGACATTTGAAAGAACTTCACCGAAATAAAACCCCTCCCAACATGCCTCGCCCACACCGCGGTGGACCACCACCCCCACCATGCCCCGACCATGTCATCCCAAGGCGCGAGACTATCCGCCGACTTCGCCAGGGCGCTCATGATTTCCTGCGAGGAAAGCGCGGCTCCATGCGGTCCACGCGAAGAAGACGACGACGTCGTGCTCCGAACGAAGCCCATCGCCACGCGCCACCCACGGGTCGCCTCGTCGGAGATGCGCATGGTGACATCCAGGCGCAAGGCCAAGACACAGGCGGGGTGGCTCCGGATGAGCTTCAGAAGCCGTTCCTCGGCGCCTCCGGTTGTTCCCGCAGATCCGCCGGAAACCAGTTCCGGACGAGTTCGCATCCGGCGACGGTCGAACGATGTGCAGCATCCGGTGTTTTGGGATGCCAGCGGTTGGATGCCAGATGTTCCTTGACCATGGGGCTTGGGGCTTGGCATCGGCCCCGTGCCAGGACCAAATACGCTGATAAGACCATGTCAACCTCCATATGAGGCGTTGGATGGCTTTTACGAGGTGGAATCAGGTCCGGGAACATGGAGCTCGGTGTAAGGCTAAGCCCCAAAGGAATGAGGCGCGGCCATCCGCCACGTTTCGAAGTATTCTGAGCACCCAACGACCAGCCACCAGGTGGGTTCTCCCTTTCCGCTCCCGAAGCGGTGAAGAACCGCGCCGACGCGCCGACCTGATGAAACGTGACCGACGCCACCCCGCCTGCGATCTTGTTGACGGAGCTGGAGCTGGGGAGGCTCTTCATCCTGCTGGAGGTGGCACGGTCGGAGCCATGACACTGGGGCGTCCGGGAGCCGAGGCAAGCCCGGGATCCAAAGGGGAATTTCCCGGGCCCGGTGGGCAGCGGCGGGGTTTTTTGGGAGCGTCATCCTAAAGGCACGAGAAGAAGGTTCCAAGGTTCCACTTCGCTGTTCCACGTCGGGCCAATCAAAACACCAGCACACTCCCACCAACATGAGTGTAGAAGGCTTTGGACAGAGGGTGGCTTTTGGCCAGGCGCTGGATCACTCGTGACCCTTGACGTCGGTGAACTGATTGCTTGAGCTTGCTTCTTGGGCTCTGGGCCTATTTGTACCTCTCAACATCTCTAGAGTATAGCCATGTTCCAGCCAAAACCTGCATGTTACCCACCTGTGCAGCCTTTAGAGTCCGATCCACTCCTCACACCCTCAAACTCCATGGATGGCGGGGAGGTATGAGTTCTGGACTTCAAAGCCTCCACTTCCACCTCACCACTTTTCTTGTGAGACCACAACTCGGGTGGCTTCTTCCAACACTGACAGCAGTTTTTTGAACTTCCTCGTGTTGAGGCTGTTGAGGTGTCCCTTCCATCAGCTTCGATCTCTGCATCTTTCCCCGTTCCTTCCATCAAGTCACGTCACCTGAGACGCCGAGATGCCCGGCATCTGCCAGTCTGGGGGTCTTTCACCTTCTGGACCCCAGGGCGTCCTGGACGCCCAAGCTCGCTCATGGATCTCTAGCGAGACTTCGTCTCCATGGGCGGGGCGACGGGTAGTGGTTTTGCGTTGGCAGAAACGGGGCAAGCTGAGCGTTGGCAGAAACGTGGGGTTGACCATGGGTGGACCCCAAACCCAAAAGCAGTCGGTCATGTAATGTAATGTTTCTCGCCCAGCGATGCCAGAAGTATCCAAACATCCTTCGCTTTGGAACTGGTGGCTGGGTACGTGACTATGACCTCAGGGCGGGGGCGAGACCCCACGAGTCCCCCGATCCCAATTCCTGGAGAGATCCCGATGCGGGTCATAGATGGCAAGACTGTAGTCTCACCAGAGAACGCATCAGTTGGGTTCTTGGTCCATAGAACCTGAAGTATCTGACTCCTATTGAGCCTATTGCCTGCCGACATGGGTGTTCTCCGAGAAATGATTCGCTGCTGCAAAAATCGTAAGCCACAAACACCGAAAAAAAAAATAAAACACCTCCTCCCCAACAGAGGTTAAGTGACCGTAAATAGGACCCTACCAGGGGGCAGGATCACAGCGGAATGCTGTGGTGCTGTAGCATGCCCCTACTACTGACCCTATCAGGGTACCGAACTGGGATAGCCTAGTTCGGGTTCTTCAACCTCTGTTGGCCCTACAAACCGGCACCTCCTTGAGCCACAGAACCACCGGATGCTGGTGCGTACGCGTTTCGTGCCCTGAGCCGCCGAGCTAAGCAGGGTCTCGTGGCAACACCCCACAGCTGTAAGAAACCCAAGGGGTTCTCTTCCAAGAGGCTACATACAGTATACCGTATATATATAGCATATTGATTATAGCTGTGACTCAAGAATGAAATGCTAACTGTTGATATTGGTTAACCCGCAGCGAGCTTTCGGGTCATTCGTTGAGCCACAGCCATATGGCAGGTGCGGGTGTAGCCCGACAACCATGTGATCTGGATGTCCCGCCCAGTTCTTCTGACTTCACGATTTATAAAACAAAAGAGAGAAACTTGCATGTCTCAAGTTTTGGCCATGGCTAAAGTCACACATCTCAACGACTTTGGAGGCTTGAAAGTTCCACTGCTTGATGGATGGCTGGTTCAAATTTGCCTCGAAGTGTTCAATTATTGTCATGGATGGCTTTCTGGTTCGTTTCCGGTTTTGCTGGGGTTGCCCCCCCATGCATTCCTTCAAGGATCATTTGGGTGAAGAAGTTCACACCAGTGATCAGTGATGAAAGACACCATCAAAGACCCCGACCAACCTCTCAGGATTCTCATTGGTTTCATCACCCAAGCCCCTCTTGCAGATCAGGGCATCAAGATGAGACCCTCTTACTTCAACACCTCACATCCGCGGCTTCCACTGACTGAAGTGATTCAACCCCGGCAGGGTTGGCACTTTGGAGTCATTCAAGAAGCTGCCGCCGCAGCTACTCCCTGCCACGCGAGAGTTTTGGGTGGAACCGGCAAACTCTCATGCAACGCTTTGTAAACAGGGCTCCTCCTTCTGCCACGCAGGTGTGACGGTGTCCTTCAAACCAAGCGGCGTGAACTTGGTGAACCAGCGGCGGAACTGCGCCACGTCGCTCAGCTCTAAGAGCCCAAGAGTCTTGCCATGGGGCACCAACAATCAAGCCTCTCAACGGCGGAATATTCGAACTCCACAGAACTCCACATACCCAAGAGTCTTGCAAGGAGTCATCACCTGATCCCCTCCGCGCCATTCGGGGGGAATGGAGGAACCGAGGGTGAAACGCCGAGGCCCGGCATGGCGCCACAGGGAGGAATCCCGGGCGCACGAGCCCGTGCGTGCGGCGGTGCAAGCTCAGAGAAGATGGTACTTCGCCCATGGACGAAGCCCAGAGCTGAGAGTTCTATGCGTGGCTGAGTGGAGATGTCTTCATGTTTTCTGGGGTAACGTGTTGGACGAGCAAAATCACCTGCACCACGTCGCAGTACTTCCAGCTGCCGCTTGTGGTGCTAGAATAAATCCTCGGATTATGTTTCGAACACCTGGGGTTGAGTCATCACCGCTCCGAGAAAGCGCTGCGAGTTGGGGAGGTATTCATCATCATCATCATCATCATCATCATCATCGTCATCGTCAACATCATCATCACTGGCAAGTCTTGGCAACTTCCCACACAAACATCCACATTACACATGCATGTTGAACAGTAAAATTGTTGAAGCGACAGCCACATAAAAGCCTCAAGTCCTTGCTGGTTGCTTTTTCCAGATCGTAAACACAGTGTTTTCGGTGATCAAATTGGCATACTCTGCAAATACAGTGGCGTGGTGAACCACAAGAGAGAAGGCTACTACGGTCATCTACTATATATTATATAATGATGTTCATTGATTTTCATATATTCAATCCCTCATCTGAGCTGCTGAATGTTGGTGAGATAAACCATCGCCCATAATGGCATACTGAATGTTTTGCCTTGAATTGTAGGCGGCTAACGTACTGTACGATTCTACGGTAGTTTTTGATTGACTTTCCATGCACAAAACGTATTTGTTGCGTTGGCATCCGAGATAAAGGGCTGACCTGAAGCGTCAGCTATACTGCGAATGCTAGTGTGTGGGCAAGTGCTTAGGTCCCAACAGCATCCAACGACCACTACAAAAGCACGGGCTTCACCAAGCTGAGTTTATCCTGATTGCGGCACTGTTAGTCAAAAATATGTATATATATCCTCAATGAATCACTCTTTTGGGGAAAATAACTCAAGCTCCCGGTATTGGGTGCTTTTGCCTCCACACAATACTACACAACTAAAAGCTAAAAAACCATAATTACTTAGAAATCTGCACTGACTCCTTTTCAGATTTCATGTGGGCCTTTTTGCTGGGATCGTCCGCTTTTCAATGAACTGTTTCTTGAGAAGCTGATGAGACTTGGGAAAGTCAGCGACGCAGGCGGCAGGTTCGCCTGCATTTCTCTTGAGCTTCACGCGCACGGCACGGGGAGCAAAGCGGGAGGGGAGGGGCGAAGCAGAAATCGATCGCCCCCCACCCCTCCACAAGTTCTCTTCAAAAACTTCCAGTCTTTGCAGGAGGGCACTGGAAAATCATCCCTCCCACACTGGATCGGACCAGCTGGGTTCCGGTGGCGGAATGGACGTGAATGGGAGGAGGTCTGCTCCGGGGCACCTCTGACTATCGAAGTGAAAGCCCCCGCGTTCATAAGCCAAAAATCGTCCACTTCCGTGGTAGTGAGCGGGAGTCTTTCTTTCTGGCACGCGAAAAGATTGATCGCGTAGCAGCTGGGTGTAGCCCGTAGGAGGCACTATATGAACCACCCAAACTCCGTGGTGTTGGTGCCATACAGTACACCGCAATATTCTTGACCCCACTTGGAAGAAGCGCACTGATGCTTGGACATCCCACCACTTCCCCGCTTCCGCTGCCCGCCCAGGGCGGAAGCTGCCGGCGTCCGGACCCGCTGCCTCACCGCGATGCCTTGCAGAACGTGTCGCCCGGCGCGGTGGAGGCGAGGTTGCACTGGATGGCCTCAGCCGGTTCCGACGCCGCGACGGCACGGGCACCGGCACGAACGTCGGTTCCGACCGAGGTGTGGAGCTTCTTCGGTGCGTGGTTCAGACGATCGAAGGATCGCTCTTAGATGCATCGAAGGATCGCTTTTACTTTCTCAAGAGCCATCCCTTGTTCCTGTGAAGGGTGTGCCATGGATGGACTTGGGAGCTGCCGGAACCACTGGTGCTCTGCCGCAAGCACATCGTGTGCGCGCGAAGCCAAAAGCTCTGCGCCCAGTCACGTTGGTGTAGTCGGTCACTGTCAAGGTCTTGCCCGCGGCAATGGTCACGTCGCCGTTCAGGGCGATGGCACCCGTGCCGGTGGTGAAGGTGCCAGTGCCTTAGTGCCAGCTCCCACGTCGTGGCGAACTTGAACGTCAACACGACGAACACGACCCTTCACAGAAGTCTCAGCCACATCAGCACCAGAATGTTGCTCTGGACCCATGCACCTCCACTCCTTTGGGAGCTCATATCCGCCCTGCAAGTTGCAGAAAAGGCGAGGAGAAAGGGCCTATACTCTTCACTTTCACCCATGCCAAGAGACTGTTAAGATCTGGTCAAGTATAGCGTCATCTACAGCGCCGAACACGACGACAGTGGCCATCTGACCCCGAACACACGACAACAACCAGGAACCATGTCGATTTGGAGTACCGAACCCCGGAAAAGCAAGTGTGACCCTGATTCCTCACACAGTATCCTAGGCCCTAGGCATCCCTCCACACTATCCAGGTTCGGATACCCCAAACCACCCAAAACCACACGAGTTCACCCCAGGGCGGGCGCACGAAACACACATCACACAAAACCAAAAAAGACCTGCCATGTGCAAACCCGCGTTGCCAGTATTGCTCATGGTCAGATCCTTGTTGAAGGCAATGGCCTCGGCCGATCAGCGCCCGCAAAAAACCACCGACCCGGTTTTCATGGGCGGCAGGACAAAAAGGTACCCCAGTGTGTACCATGTACCAGCATGATCCAGTACACTTTGCGACTTGTGATTGCCATTGCGAGTTGTGGATTTCCTGTGTTGTCCTGCAACCTGAGTCTATGATCATTATGATCTGGCCTCTGGCCAGGCTTGTTTTGGGGGCGTGCCTCGTCGAAAGCCTTAGTCGAAAAATCCCCTTGAACCGATCCTGTTGCTAGGTCCTAGGTGCTTCAGCTCGTCACTGGCAGCATCTGCACATATGTGCACCCTGTCTAACTACGTAGCTTTACAGGATGAACCAGCCACATGAGTTTGGACAATTCATCGTTCACATCATATATTCATATATTCCAGTGCACCGCTTCCGATACGTGCGTCCGAGGTTAGAATTGGCCAGTCCCTTCAGTCCAACCGTCCAACCGCGGTCCGTCACATCAGACTCGTCCCCACTTCCTCGCGGACACCCCACCGGGCCCTAGGCGCCCCACCTTCACGTCGCTGGGTGAGTCGAACGTCCCCAAACGGCCCACGGCCGGGTGAGTCGAACGGCCGGGTGAGGCCAATGACTCCCACGAATCCAGACGTCAAGTCGGACCGGTGACTTACAGCGTTGACCCACCCCATGACCCACCGAGATGCGGCGCAGAGAGGTTGAGAGACCTGAACCCTGGTCAGTGGTACACATGGGATAGGCTAGGATGGCCTGTTCAAGCTCTCTAGGATGCCTATCCTATCCTATCCTATCCTTCATCCATCATCCATCAGTCCATGAGCTAGCCCCTTCCCTGGAAAAACCGAACGTCGAACTCCAATCACCCAATTTTCAGGCCAACTCTGAAACTCTCAAGTGGCCACCTGCACCACCCCAGTGGACCCCAGTTACCACATGTTAACACGAGACCGACTATACCCTACATCTATAGCAGCTACAGTCACCAAAGTGCTTGGCCTGGATCCACCACCCAGGCCAAAACGCCCCCTCACGCGCCCCATCCCTCTCGCGCAGCTCCATCTCCGTGCAGCTTCCAACCGCTCCGCCCCAAAGCGGGCCCTTCCGTCCACCCGGTACCGTTGCAAGCTGCCACATCACCATTGAAAGTGGAGGTCCCCGTCGCCGTGGCGAACCTGGGGTCCGGGGGTGCGTGCTGGACCGCCGCGCCGTTTCCTTGCGGGTTTGGGGGGCGGCGCACCTGGGTGCCCAGTGGTGCGGTGTTCGACCAAAACGCTGGAGCCAAGTGGCCGGGCTGAGGTGTCTCTCGTAAAGTCCGCAAACCCGCCCTTGCGACCCAAAACAACCATGGAACATGAAAACCTCCAGACTGCAGAGTGATCACGGTGGGTTTCCAGGAGCTGAGACAGAAAATGGCACGATGTACGGCTGAAAACACGGTATAAACAGATTCCAATATCACCTATATACATAATTATGACAAGGCTATGATGCCAGGAAATGGTTGCGCCATGGCTTCTACCAAACCTCCCCCCAAAAGGAACGTGGTTGCCCAACCACCTGCTACTATATGCTGTGGAAATCCGCGAGTTGCCAACCATGATTTAGATCTCAAGCTTGAAACATCTTGAAACACTGGTCCTTCCCACCTGCCTAGAACCCAGGGGTCAATCAGGTTCTAGGTGAAGAGATCTCACCAGCCTCTTCCCCCAACTCTCCCGGAAAAAGCTCCAACTCCAACAAACCTGGGCCCCATACAAAGCCCCATACAAACTCCGAGGTCCGTTCCCATGAAAAAAAGCCGATCCCTCGAACGTGGACCTGCCTGGATCCATTGGAATCATCCAAAAGCGCGGATGGCGCGACACATCTCCCAATCCCCGCCCTTTGGGGTCAAATCGGTGCGGACCCGTTCCAACCCAGGAGCGTTTTGGCGGTGCCATCCAAGTCATCGTGCCCCACAAAGTCGCCGTACAACTGCACAGGGCGCGGTCGAGCGCCACCGGTGGAGCGTTCCCCGCCGGAACGCTGGACGTTCGACCCGCGCCGGGGTTCCGTCGACGGGTTCCACGAAAAAGGACCGATCTTTTGGCTGCGTTGGGGCCTGATAGGTCTAACTAGGTGGTTTCCACTTCTTATCACAAAACACCAGGGCCTGAATGGGGTCTGAGAACCCCCCAACAAGGGGGCGACAGGGGGGCCTGTAGCTTTGGTGTAGCGGGGAAACCAACCTCCGCTCTGTCCGCTCTTTCGGGCACTTCTGCCCTTGTTCTGCGTCGGGGGCTGAGCGGAGTCAGGGTTCCGAAGTTGGAGGCAGTCGACCTCCCGGGCTCCAGTGGTCCTCCTCAGAGTCCTCCTCCACGTCCGAAGGGTTGGGAGGATGCGCCAACCCGGATCAGTGACCACCACCTTCTGCTTGAAGGTGGCGGTCTACAGTCCGCGCCGGCGCAGTTCTGAACAGGCGCTGGAAAAGAAGGTCGCGCCGGCGCTGGGAGTCCGCATTTCAACAACGGTCCGACCTATATGGTGATCCAAGTCTGGGGAACTTCCTTTGACTTATCTTGACGATAGTTATATATTATATATAATGCAGACTCTTGATCAATAAACTCCCCCATTTGAGTTGGACATCCTTTTCATATGGGGGCGTCCTGCGATCAAAAGTCTACATTCCGGAGATGCCAAAAGATCGTCTTTGGACTACCAGGGAAGGTGATCTCGTCCAGGCTGAAGGTGCCGCTCCGAGTTCCGATGCCGGTCCGTGGCCCTCATCCTTCCCAGCCCAGCGGCATCCAGCTGCGTGGAAGCACCGTTCGCAGTGCCTGGCGAGGTGAGTGCAACATGTCGAAGTCTTCGTCCAGTCATGGAACTGGAGCACCTGGTTGCTGGCTTCAACTCACTTGAGAAGTACAATCAAGGAAAAATGGAAAAAAATCAAAACATGTCCGAAACCACCACCCCCTGCCACTGGGTGTCCAGACCCAAACGGCCACATGTGGCACTCACCAAACCCAATGAACCACCTCCCCACGGCGACGACTCGGCCTCCCAGCTGCCCATCGACCCCATCCACAACCGCCCTCCCGCTCGGTACCCAAGCGCAACACCTGCCTGAACCGATGATGACTTGGCCGAAACTCGGTGCGTGCAGGGGCGACGGTGCAACGGTGGAACACGGCGATCGGACCAATTGCGTGAGATGAAGGAGGAGGGCAGCCCACATTGCTGGTCGATTTCGGGATCCGACATGATCCGACAGTTCCAAATCCGGAAGGAGCATGTCCCATGTCTAAAATCAAAGTGCCAAAAAACAAAAGCACGTGTAAAAAAAAATACAAAAACAATCAGGGATCGCCATTGGCATGTTTCTCCCTTTTTCCAGGAGAGTGGTGGAAGAGGAGTCGCAGGATTCAGTGTTCGGCGCCATGGGCTACGTCATCACCACTACCTTTGATCTGCATAAAGTTTAAAAAACACACTTAGAACAGCTTCTTTAAGGTCCGAGCGTTGATGCAAAATGAACTATATAGAAAGACAACAAAAAATTGCACAACTTACACGCATTCATAGATTCCTCTCCAGCATTGTTGGCTCGAAAAGAAGCTTGTGACGCACTGAAAAAAAACGCCATTCGTTGGCCTCTCCTCCCAGGGGTGGACGTCCTCCTCCCCCCAATCCCCAGCACCGAGGTCGACCCGTTCGTCCCATGATCCGTCCCAGTGGCAACTGCGCGAGGCCGCCATTGTTGTTGGATCCCACCGAGAAGGCCACACCGTCGGCCTCAGGTTGAAGTAAATATACCCTACCTTAGTGAACCCCAGTGGTTCATAGTGGTTCCCAAACGGTGACCTGAAAAGAAGTATAGCTTCCCCTGAGGTCCCAAATTCACGCCGGTAGCAAGGGCTATCACAAAGGGTCTCGCTGAGGGTCGAAGCGCTACGGAGCCGCGGAGGAAGCAAACAAAAAAGATTGCCACGAAAAGACCGAGATTTGGGATGGTTTGGGCAATTGCCCTGTCCCGGTCTTGACACCTACCCAAATGCATCCAAATGGTGTAGCCCTTTTACTAGGAGTTGTTGACGTTGACCACTTCGTACGACTTCGTATCTTCCCGGTCTGTCCAGGTGGCGTCGTGCTTTGTGAGAGCAGTAGTGGTCACAGTGAGTCCTTGTTACAAATTGTTCCACGCAGAATGTTTCGCACAGCCCTCACAACCTACCAAAACATTTACAGCCTGCAGCTGCCGCTTGCTGGTTGAACTCCATCATCCGCTTGTGCCACTAGACCCCACTACACCAGGTCCGACCCCACCACACCAGGTCCGACCGCCCGCCCCTCTCTTCCCCCCCCCGAAGAAGCCCCCTCTCAACCCAACTCTTTCACACCACGCGGCCACGTTGGTGGTGCCCTGCAGCGACACCGCGCCCGTGCCCGTGGTGAAGGTCTTGCTCCCCGATCTCGGTACCGAGACGGCGCGGCCGGGAGACCGTCGAGCGAAGCGGCCAGGGTCTGGGAGCCACACGCGGACGTTTAAAGGATCGCGGTTTTGGGCGGAGTTTGGCACGGCCCAAATGCGGATGAGAGCAAATTCTTGAAAGTGCGGAACGGGCGCCCTGAAATTGAATTGACCTGCAAAGAAAACCGTCCACCAGCGGCTTCCAAGACCCCAGAACAAGGTTAACTGAATTAGTGGTCACTGGAGGTTCCAAAAATTCAGTCAGCGCTGATACCCATCGCGCCTGGAAACACTGTACCGTACCCGATCTGGTGCAGAAGTGGTTCGTACAAGTTCCTAAGGTTGCAGAGCTAGAGGGAGAAGTGTCTTTCTCTTGGCGAGAAAATCTCGTTGCATGCCGAACCTCAACTGATTCAGAGTCGAACCTGGCCTGGTAAAGATCTCCTCGACAAAAATGCCGCAACACCGGAGTTGTTTGGCGAACATCTCTGATTGGGGGGATGAATGCAGTCAGGACATTGTTAAGATATAATTCTATTTCAATCTATTTCAGGATGTCCCCTTTTCCTGCAGTTCTTGCGAGCCCATCTCGGGTTTCTTCACCGTCGCCATCTCCACGTTTTTTCCGCAGCCGGGCGGTTCCGCGCCGCGTGGAATCGAACGCCACGGCACATTTGGAGGTTGCCGTAGATGGTCGCGGTCCCCGTGCCCGTCTGGAAGGTTCCCGCGCCACCGGACTGGGCGGCCGAGTGAAGGGGAGTGAAGGGTCCCCAAGGCCTGGTGGGATGGAGGTGGAGGAAACCTGGCCATGGAGGTGCGTCGGATGTGTGGTTTCTGTTGTGCAGAAGCACAGGCCGACCAGGTCATGCAAACGGAACAAACCTTTACATGTTGGCCGGTTTGACCTTGTTCTTCAGGGGTTTTCGTTTCGAGTGGGGCTCCATGGCTTAAACCCCACTGAACACACCAAATGCACGGAAAACACAGAAAACATCAACGAACTCGCAAGTTGCAAATCCTGGCAACTGCATCTTGTTCAAGAACAATTTACTAATTTTTTACACATCGGTATATGCAGATAAAGAGGATGTTTTCATTGGCCCCGTGGTGGTCAACCATTGGGAAGGTGGGCCACTTGATGAGCAGCATGGCGGACCTTCAGGCATGGCAGGATCGGGTCTCTCTATCCATGTGGTGTGGCCATCAGCACTCGAGAGGTGGTGTGGCCTCTCGGGTGGTTTCGAGACTGTATCGAGGCATCAGCACAGGGCTGCTGGAGAGAGAAGGAGAAGCAGGACAAGAAGAGGAAGAACCAACACCTATCAGCCGCACCCTGTCCCCTGTGCTTCGTAGGAAGAAGATGAAGAAGACAGAGATGGTTCGGGCCAAACTGGAAATGCTCCTCGCAGCTGGCCCCGTGGAAAAACACGTTGAGTGTCATTGAGTCTTGCACATGGCTTGGCCAAGGATAAACGCAGACTTCAACCCCAAACCAAACTGAAGTCGTTGGACGAAGCAGCTGTTCTGCCCTTGAATTTGGCTCAGTGGCAGCCATGTGCAGGTTCTTCCCACTAGCCACAGCCACATCGCCATTCCTGCCATTCAGGTGGGGCTCACATGCAGCTGAAACGAAACTTCCACCACGTCGCGCGAGGACGGAATGGGCGGGGGACCGGACCCGAAGCCAACACCCTTTCCTTTGGAACTTCGGGACCCCCGATTTCTTGGGGTGGGTCGGATCCCCTGCACCTGGCGGCTGGCAATGGGGCCAGTCGAAGAAGGTCGAACTTGGTGCGAAGAAGGAGTTCGGAATGGTCCATTGGAGTTCCGACAGTTCCCGTCGTTCTTCTGGCGTCGTACTCCCATGAAATCGTGGAAGTGGAGGTCACCAAGGTCACAACCTCTTGAGGAACATGGTCATCCGGTCATCCATTCGAGACCGGATGGACTTCCACGTAACCAGGGTGATTTCGTCCAGCTTGATGGACTTCTTTCCACACACAGACCGACGTGGCCACCCCAGGGACCAGATCCACGCACACCCGTCGAGCTCCGCTTGGTGGGTCGAGCTCCTGCGCGATTCTTCAGATTCTATGCTTCCCTACTCGTCCGTTGGTGGTAAGCCATGGTTTTGTAGGGAATGTCCTCTTTTGGATTTGGGTATGGCGTGGTATGGTTAGATCCTCTGACATTGAAAGAGTAGAACCTCAATAGATGAGATTGTTTCGTCCAAGACCGAGCCCCCGGCATGATGGATATCATGCCAAACGGATTCCAACCCCATCTCTTTGAGATCTCTCCTGCAGACTCGTGGAATTCAGATGGTACTTCGCGCACCATGCGTAAGGCTGCCGTTCCACGTCCTACGTCCACCTCCCCCCGTCCGAACGCGGAGGTCGAAGACACCGCGCCGGACTCCGCTCCGCTCCGCTCGCCGTTCACGATCCGCCCGCTGGGCGACCCGGACAGGCTGACGGCGCCGGTCCCCGTGGTGAAGGTCGTCTGGGTCGCACCCACGTCGGCCTGGCGGGATCAACGAGGAGAGAAACCGCACGGCACGGGTCGGCCTGGCGAGGGTCGGACCTGTTCAGTTCAGTGAGTCTTAGTCTTAGAGTCTCAAATTCGCGGGATGGGACCATGGTGGAGCGGACATGTCATGGTTGAGACGGATCCTCCAGTGTTGAGATCATGTTACATGCCTAAGAGTCTCACAGCTGAGCTCAGAAGGAACGCGAAAGGAAAGGGACCAGTCCATGGTGGAAGCGAACAAGTCCATGCACCACTCGGCCGCGACTAAGGCCCACTCGGCGGCTACAAGGGCGGTGACCACGATCGTCCGTGGAGACCGGAGACCGACCGGTCGTGCTCCAAGGAGACCGGTCGTCTGAACTCGGTAGGTCGAACATGGATCACATCATGGATCCGAACTGAGTGTAGACTCTTAGATGATCATTTCACCTCCCATGGTTTAGAGGGACCTTCCACTTCAACTGGGAGGGTTGATGGTCCTCTAAGAGTCTACATGAATTCATTACGAAGCACCACCGAATTGGACCCTGCCCTGTTCCTGAAAAAAAAACAAGGAGTTCCAGCAACCGGACCTGCGACCCGAAAACTGGTTGACCCGTGGGAGCCGAGGGGAGCCAAACCCGGTCAGGACCCGGAACCGGCCACCAGGCGACCTGCCCGTTGGAGGGCCCTTTTGGGGCCCTTCGGAACCCCTTCAAAGCCAAGCTCCGTGGATGCTAGATGATCCTGCTACTGATGTGACGATGGACAGAAGGAATCGGAAAGCTTCGTTGGGTCTATGGCTGCCATAAGTCTGTGGAACTGGTTTCTTCTGAGCCACAGATCCCTATTGAACATGTCCGTCGGACAATGAATAGGCAGAAAAGTGTTAAGGGTTACCCACTGGCTGGGCAGGACTGGTTACCAGCTATAGTGGCAACTGCAACTGGATGGGCAAAAGAATGCGGAAAACCTTGGAGGCGACCAAGCTGTGACAATGACCACAACTTCACCGATCTTCAGTCAAGGTGTCCGAAGACCTTCGGCCCCCGAAGACCTTTGGCTGACGGAACACGCGTTGGGGAACCGTGAGCCGTATTTTTCGGGTGCGTGCCAGCGTCGAAAAATGCGGACATGGTTGGCCACACCGCACCCTAGAAGTCATGACTCTATATTTAAATAACCTTGTGAAGGAAAAATCGTTGGAAAACCCCTGGCAGGTCCCTTAGTCAAACCATTCCCTTGTCTCCGTCAGACACAGGGATCTACCATCGCCGGTGATCTTCTCACCCCTGCTAACCGCGGGTTTTCGGCGAGGCGACCCCTCGGTCGGCGAGCCGAACACATCCAGCAGTGGTGCCCCAAGAAGCTGAACCTTTTGGCCACTCAAGGATTGCTAAGATGCTTGCAGCCAGGTTTCAGCAAGGCATGTTGACAGGAATGATCATTGACATCACACTCCGTGGGGTACATGGTACACTCATGTACACTCCCCGAAATCATCATGGAAATGGAGTTCGCCGCCTGTTTGATCCTGTTGGTATACCCGTTTTCAGCACCATGAAACGTACCGCACCTGTGGTGAACGGACTTGAAGTGCTGTACGGGCACCCGGGTTTCCCTCAACCCCTTCAGCATCCTAAAAAACGAGCACCCTCATTCAATTCAGATTTCACATGATTTCACAATTTCACTGCCTACTTCCCTCCCGCACAAAACCCCCGCCTCCTCTCCCTTGCCAAGCCTAGGCTTCCCTGACCTTTTCGGCTAAGGTCACCCCGCCTGCGCGATATTGCCGTTCACCGTCACAGCTGCGGCGCCTGAAAGGTGCCCAAAACCGCGGCTTGAAAACTGTACCTGGACCATCCTGTCTGTGTGCCCTGGAGATCCCTAAGCAGTGGAGGGTTTCCTCCAATTGGCGACCCAAATAGGATGGTCCTGGTAGGTGGTTGGGGGTGGGGGGGATTGTTCCACGGTGCAGGACACCCGAACTTTGTGCACATGTTCCAAACCACAGCTTTGACATGCTTTGAACACAATTCCGCTGCGGCTCGGAAAAGACCATTGTTTTGCCTCACTCCGATCTATTAACAGGAAACGTGGGCTAAGAAAATGCGCTCCCACTGTGGTTTCGTGCCTGCCATTGGTACTGTTTTCACAGCGCTCAAGATCGAGGGTCTGCTGCCAGGAAGCCACCAGTGAAACACATGAAATCTTGCTCATGCCGATGGCCAGTGAAACTGTCGCGCATAGATTCCAAGTATGTAAGTATGTTTGGATCGCTGTGAGCACTATTGGGCACCTATCGCTTCATGCATTTCTTTCCGCACACTAGCCGTGAGTGAGTGAACTGAAGACAAAACAGGCATTTCGGACGGAACGCTCCTGGATGGCCATGCAAAACCCCCCCGGTGCACAACACCATACAACACAACACTTCCTGGCCTACCTGCCAACTTAGCCCTCGTGTGGCACGTGATTTTTGGTTCCCACCCGCAGGAAGCATAGCCCTGGCGTAGCGTGTGAACCGACCTCCCACCCTACATACCCAGCACGTGGCCTTGCCTAAGATCTCCTGTACATACTGCTACCACGGAAGATGGTTTTCGACAGTGCCACAAACCGCTACCGGAAGGAACGGCTGGAGGCGAACTCTGAAAAGCACCAGCACCGCTGAAAAGACATAGAACCACAAACAAACAGTCTTCCGAAGTACTTCGCCCGCCCCACCCGCATCCGCACCCGCGTCCCAGTCTGGCGAGCCTGTCGAGTCACCAACGACCACCGCTCCATAGAGGGTGGTGGTGCCACCCGCGCCGGCCGAACCCACCGTGAAGGCGGTCCTGGACGGGCCGCGACCGAAGGAAGCCATTGAACATCATTGAACCATCTCCGGCTGCCAACCGGGGGGACCACAGGCATAGGCTCACAATCAGTTGTCCAGTATCTTCTGCCACCTTCTGCCATGCAGGTTCATCCCTCAAAAACCTTTTCGCTTTAGCCTCAGCTCTTGGGGATCCACTTAAACCATTTCATGTGAGCCCAAGACACAGGGCTCAGGCCCACAATCAAGTTGGAACCCAAACACTATAGTAGGAAGCTTGTGAAAAGCTTGCGCGCCCGTGGCCCGATGCAAGTTCGCCACCGGTCCGGAGCACCTGGACCCCGGAGCTCGTGCCAAGGAGCGAGTCCGCCACGGTGGTGGCACCCTTGAGTTCCACATTGCCCAAGCCCGTGGTGAAGGTGTTGCTGCCCGTGATCTGGCGAGCTCGAACGATCACGGAGCCCGAAACCCGAACGGGGGCCGTGACGTCGACGTCGAACGGTGGCGGCAAGGGGGTTTTGGTGCCGGCATTGAAGGAACGCATGGATTGAAAAGAGGATCTTTTCGGGCTTGGCTTCTGGGGCTTGGTGTGCCTGCCTGACTTACAAACTACATAGCCGTGCGGACTGGCTGACCGATGCTGACGGAGCCAGCAAAGACAACGGGCGCCGGATCCGGAACCTCGGTGGAACCAAAACCACCCATTGAACACTCCAGGATGAGCTTTGCATCTATATATACCCAGGAGCATCCTGAGGACGTCCTTTTGGCCCAAAAGACCATTCACCTCCAAGACCATCCTCAGGAGGTACCTGGACCCTATGGCATAGGAGCTGTCCAAAGAGCATGGGATGGAGCCTTTCCCAAAAACAACATCATCCACACCTCTGCCCTGCACCCCTGCCCTGCGCCCCTTTAGCCATGCAGCCGTGGTGGCGCCGTTGAGGGTGATCGCGCCAGTGCCTGTGGTAAAGGCACCCGTGCCCGTGTTCGTCATCGTCAGGTGCCTCAGAACGCGCCAGGCGTCGGAACCCGAACGCGGTCGGAACGCGGAACGCGGCGTTCGGTGCAGGTTTCGCCTGCGAAGACCACCCGCATGAAGGATCCGAAAATGGAGGCATGGTCCGAACATGCGATAACTCATTGACTCGACTGAGGAGGCGGAGGAGGAGGAGAGGGCTCCCACTAGGGCTCCCGAAGCATCGAACATGTCAATGTCTTACTCAATCGTCCCATCATTTGAGGCAGGTCCGGATGGGCTGGTCCCCGAAAAGCTTCACAAGCGATCACGAAAGCCAGCCGGCCCAGCTGCGAACCAGAGTTCCTACAATTGAGGGGGGGCACAAGAAGGACCGAGGAACTACATGGAGGCCCCCTTGAGAAAAAGTATTACAAATAGTATATAGTATATAATAGATGTAGTTTCGATAGAGCACTACATTGGGGTGGTTGAAGGGTCAACCTATGAAGCATGCCATACATCACCATGCATGGAGTTTGTTGGTTTCATCCCTGCATCCCTGAAAAACCTCAACGTTGAGATCGGCATACCCCGCGGGCAGCACCACAGCAACCATCCGTCTTGTTGGCTGAGCGTCTTGTTGGCTGCGATGGTCACGTCTCCATTGATCCCCACAGCACCACTCCCCGTGGTGAACGCAGCCGTACTACCTCACCGTACTGCATGCTGTTGCCGCGGGCATGCTGTTGGGCGTTTTTCGGCATCGTTGGAGTGTTGTCGCGGGAGAGAAGTCCTGTCAAACCTGGAAAGTGTTGTCGTGTTTTTCCATTGGCCCCCCCCCAACGATCTCAACTACGGTGCTTTGAAACCTGATTCTTGTGTTGGGGCTATCGGGGAATTCACTTAAAGCAACTTGAAGCCTGCACAAGTCTACCTTCCCCAAGCTTGGAGCACTACAACATCATCACGAATGAAGTCGTCACCAAGCAATGCAGCTCAACTGATGTCTCCCCTCACCCCACCCCACCTTCGTAAAAACGAGGAAAACCAGCAGCCTCGAGACTACATGCTTGCAGCACATACTTGCAGCTGGCCTCCCCCCAAAAAGAACAACGAAAAAGAAAGAAACGGCAGAATGTTCCAAAATCAAAGGCACGTATATAGGCGAACCAACCCTACCCCCCCACATACCTTATAAAACGTCGAACCCTTCGGCCTACGCCTTCGGGACAAACCCGCCTCTCCGCCAAGGAGCTGGTCGGGTCCTGCTGGGTCAAGTCGCCCGTCAACGTGAGGGTGCGCCCCTGACCCGCCACACCTGCACGGCATCGACCGTCAGCGTCTGAGGGCGGCCGTCGGCCGGCACTGGAAAGAAGGGTGGGGCCAAGGGCCTTTGGACCAAAATCAAGGACATACAAAATTTAAAAAAGAAAAAACACGGAATCTGTGGTGCACGGAAGATCCAGGCAGGTGAAAAGATGTGAAAAGAGGTGAAAAAGCCTCCCTTTGCCCCTTTGAAAAGACTCATGTTTACTAACTGGGACATGTTTGGACCGGACCCCAAGTGCCCAGGCCAAGCAGTTGGAGGGTTCCACCCCCCGTAGCTGGTGAGTGGCTTCCGCCCGCCTGAGGCGCCGATCGCCACGGTGCCGTAGAAGGCGGCCGCGCCGCCGCTGCCCGCGGAGCCTACGGTGAAGGTCATCCTGGGCGTCTCGGATGGTCTCGTGGTGGAGTGGAGTGGAGCGGAGTGGAGCGGAGTGGAGCGGAGTGGAGTGGCGTGGCGTGGCGTGGCGTGGTGGAAATGGGAAGAGGTCTGGGTGGCCGAGCGGAATGGACCAGGGAATTCACTTGAGCCTGGCAGGCTCTGACTGGCAGGCTTAGTGTGGATGGAGTTGACCTTCTTTGCTATGACGTTTTGAGCCATGCCATGCCCCCAACACAGCAGTTTCGATGACGGATGATGGATGGTAGAGTTGAGTTTGTGAAGGCCGCTTTCATGAAAATGTCCCACGCCGGCAAGGGGGAGTGTGTTAATCAACAATCATTATTGGGAGGTGGTGGGGTTGAGGGATAGGATGCAGAAAGATTGCCCCACCAGCACCAAAGATGGCAGTCGCGGGGCATGAAGGTTTAGGGTGGCGGCGGCGGCGGCGGCGGCGGTGGTGGTGGTGGTTATGGAATAGGGTCCAGAAAAACGGAAAGATGTTGGCCCGAGCAAAGAGTGCGTTAAATATGATAATTTCACTTCTAGCTTTGTCGGTGGCCGGCCCCTCCCAACTCCTAAACCAATTGGAGCACGCGGGAGGCCTCCCAATCCATGCTGCCCAAACTTATTACACAGTTGTGCTGGCCACGCTGCTGGGAAAAAGACACATGAGAGTAAGGATATGTAAGGATCACATGTGGCAGCATCTAATCTAAGGTGTCAGGGCTCGTCTTGACTTGATTAATTCCAGAGGCCAGCAACTAGCAGCTAGCAAAGGCAAGGTCGTGGCTCATAATTCCAGAGCGCTCAGTGGCATACAGCTACAAGTCACATCTGCGACCAACTCACAACACATCATAGCTTAGAGCATTTACATCCCCGGGCCACTTCTACTTTGGCCTCTCTTGCCGCGTTGCACGCCGCTCCTTCATCACCTTCTTTCCACCTCCCCCTTCATTTTGTGACCAGCTCACAACATCCGGACCACTTTTCGCTCACTTCTCAGACCGCATTGCGCCCCCCCTCGGCATCACCCTCCACCCCCCACTTCCCCTCCGTCACCTTCGTCCCAAGAAACGAGTCGGCGATGAGGACGTTGCCGTTGAGGCCAACGTTGCCGGTGCCCGTGCTGAAGGTGCCGGCACCGTTGATGACGGTGTTGCCGTTCAAAGTGTTCCTCAACGGAGGAACCCCTTGCGATTTCTGGAAGATGCTTCGCGGTTTGCCCTTGTTTCAAACTCCACCTGAGCTCTGCAAAAGACGTATGATTTTTCACCCCTATCACAAGTACTTAGTTCATCTTGGCAGGTTTCTTGCGGTGCTCACCTGGTTCTGGTTGACATGGGGTTTCCCCCATCCCCATGTCAGACGTTTTCCGGAACGGAACGGGCGCCGTGGAAGCGTTCCGCTCGGGCGCCGGTCGCAACGAACTGGAACTCCAGACCTGGTCTGGGCAGGTCTGGTCTAATGTCTAGGCCATGCTTTTCCTACTAACAACAGAGGTTGAAGGACCCCTATAGCCTATCCATGCCTATCCCATAGTACCATAGGTACCCCAGTAAGGTCCTATAAGGTCACTTAACCTCTCTTGGTAAGCTTGCCAGTTCAGCCACTTCAGGCTGGGCTCCTCGAGCGAGTCGAGGCGCGAATTTTCTGCAAGGGCGGGTACATGAAACCAAACACCATCGAACTGTTTGATGTCAAAGATGTGTTTTTGGTCCAGCCAGGAGGTTGATTCGCGATCGCCCTCAAACCTATCCCCAGGGTTTCGCACGACGCTGCTATGCCGGGTTTGGGCAAGTCGAAGGGTATGTTGCTGCGCTATTCCCCGGCAATTCCCGCAAAAACCAAGAGCTCTGCCCTCCTTTCAAGAGGTATCAAGCCCAGCACCGCAATCAGATTGACTGCACCTCCTGAAATCAAGATCATCAAGCTTCTTTTTTGGCCTCTGAAGTGCCACACCCAAATGTAACTCTCTCAAACTTACAATTCCTTTTCCGCAAGTCATTTCTGGTTTTTGTTGCGTCCTTCGGAAGAGGACCAAAAGAAGGTATATCAAAGGGAATGTGACCCGGACGAACTCCGGTCCCCAGGTCCCGGTCCCCCGGTCCCCGGGGCCACCCGGGTCGGACCGGGTCCCGTCTCTACCCGAGGCGTGGCACGTGCCCGAACTCGTGCTGAAAGCACCTGGTGAGGCTCGGTGTTCGGCACTGGAGCAGCTGGTGGGACACCGGTGGGACACCGGCATATGGAAGCGTGGTCTTAGATTGGAGAAGGACATGACGTCGAAAAACTGGCAGAGGATATGATTTCTCTGTTCACTTGAGTCGAAAAAAGTCCAAAACGTGGCTGAGACGATGCATGAAGTACAGGCGTCCTTTGCAACTTTACAGTGCTCACCTCCTCCCCGACAAAAACATGGGAACATTCGAAACCGAAGAACTCGCCTTCACCACTCCTATGATGTTTCAACCACGTTCAACCATTTCCAAACCCCCCGTCATGACATAGACTTCGTGGAGACTTCCGCTCCTCCGCCTTGTCGGAAACGGTCGAAAAGGCGGCGCCGCGCGTCGGGCGAGGACGGGTGCAGACCGCTGCCCCGCTGCCTGAGCTGGCGCTGGCATCAAAGGCGCCAGCCGACAAGGTCAAGCCGCTATCCACCTGATTTCTGAACGGCTAGCAGCGGTGGAGCCGCAGCGTTACGGCACCGGGGGTTGGAAAAAGACTGGAGAGGATGGAGACGAATGGAGCCCGCCTTGGGATGGACTCACTTATAGATACCGAGGTATGAGTTGTTCCGTTTGCTAGTGTTAACAGGTTGGAATGACGAGAACTCTTCGTGAGCCTTGCGCCAGACTTTGAGATGAGAGTTTAGACCTCGTGACTCCATTTTGATAGATATTCCCATCAAAATTAGTGCTGGTCCACTCGGCCAAGAGCTGGGTGAAAGGCAGGCTCGAGCGAACTACACTGAGCACACCCCCGCGGCCTGCACCAGTGCGGGTTTCATGCCGCTATGGAATCCAAGAACAAACAGGCCATAACAATTCCCAAAAGGGGCCACTCGCCATTCCTCATATTATTGGCCAAGTGGTTATATACATCATCAGCTAATGACACCGATGTGTCTTTCAACCATGCTCAACTATATAGATTCAACTAGTAATCTGTGCATCTCTTTTCTCGATGTTTCCCGTTTGGCACCTGCGTTCGTGCTCCCTCGTGGACCCGCTGACGTGCACACGCTCCCTCTCTCACAGCACCACCGTACGGTGGATCCGCCCACAGCGCGGTCAGCGCCCTGCTCTTCAAGTGACACACCCCTGAATTGGAAGCTCAACACTTGTGATAGTCCTGTTGGTTAGGGGCAGAACTGGCTCCAGTTGTTCAACTGCCAACCACCGATTTTGGAGTGGCCAGTGGAGTGCATGGAGACCGACCGAGTGGATTCAATACATCGACCGGTGTGACAAATCCGTTCCAAGCCACTTGCGGCCGGACTAACTTGTGCGCCGTGCCAAAAAAAAACCTCCCAACATGTGTGTTCCAAAGCTGTACAAGACATACTGACCTTAGTTGATTCTGGATTCTTAAGGCAGGGCTCAAGATGTCAGAAACTGGATGGTCAAACATCTCGATCTGTTCTCGGGTTTATTGGTCAACAATTGACACTTTTTGGAATCAACCCCATGACTGTTGGTCACCTCTGACAATGGTGAACCCTGGCTGCAACCAAGAAACCGAGAGCGTTGGCAAGGTGGTGCTAGGGAAATACAGCCTCTCAACACATGCGGGTCGCACACATGGGAGCACACCGCTGAGAAATCAACTGGGGTTTGGGGCTGCAGAGATGGGAGCTAAAGTGGCAATGGTGGCACTTAACTGAAGTTAAAATTCCTAGCAGAAATATGGAGCGGAATTCCATTTGCTGGGCTTGATGGCGGAACTATGTCTGCTCCTGCAAAAAATTGGGTTCCCGAACCAACGGTCTGTCACGCCCACTGTCTCCGAAGGATTCCCGGATCTAGGAGCGGACTTGGTTGGCTTTTACTGCGGATGTATATGGGGTCAAGTGCAGGAGCTTCATCGAACTTTGAACAAACCTCCGGGATTGGCCTTGAACAACCCCCGGGTCATCTGTCAACCACATCGTGAAAAACTTTGAAAACAGAAACATCAGAAGCCAGGGGCACAGCTTACGTCTTTCAGAACTGGATCATATACATTCTCCGGGCAGCACTTCCTCCCCTCTGGAACAAACAGGACAACAACCTAGAGTCGAATTCCATCGAAATCCTATATGATCCTATAATGTCTGGTCCTTGAAGTCCTTTGTGGGCCATCCCTAGACACCACGGTCGGTTTCTAACAATCATATCCCTCCCCGCAACTCACCTCACCTCGCTCCTCTGACTCGCCACCCAGACCGCCTATCATTCGTTCCCAGACTGGCGGTACACCAGCCGGTCACGTGGCTTTGAGGGGGCACCTGCAGGCGTTGTCGCGATCGCAGGCACCGTCCGCGGCCCCAACGAGTCGTCTGTCGTCTGTCTTCGTCTTCCGCTCCGCTCACCAGGACGCGAGGGGCACAGGGAGCCCTAGATATGTTTTGATACCTTAGCCGTCTCGCTGCAGCTTCCGAGGCATGCCACTTGCACTTGTTTATTCGTCATGTTCTCGTCCAAACCCGGAACTGCAAGGACCAAGGATGTCTAAATGTTCGTGTGGTTCTCGCCGGGAAGTGTTCGCCCACCGCCGGTCAGATCTCCGATTGACTCAACTGGCCTTGTAGGTGATCCCGGATCCACTGTTGTCCGTGATGCTCATGGTGTACGTTGCGTGAGTGTTGATGAACTTGTACTCCCAAGCCTGAGAGGATATCGCCAGACACCAAGCCGGGAGGGTGCTACGAAAACGGGGTGTGCTTTTTGCCTGGGCTGCAGGTCTTACCGCGGGGATGTGCGGTCAAATCCCACTGTACACAATTTTCAGCAGTCTAAACTTCTAAACCTGTAAACCCTGGGTCTTCCAACGAACGCAAAAGTTACAGTATGCTTTTTGGCGGACGACGCTGTACTTGCGCGAAATTTCGTGGAACGAACAGGTTGAGGAGAAATATGGAGAAATACTGTAAGACAGCAAAAAAATGCCAACAAGAAGGTCCCTGCCAGGGTCCTGGCAACGGATTGCAGTGGTCCAACTGTCTAACCCAAAAGTCTGCTGTCCCAAATAATGAAGTGCTGTGAATCCATGTCTTGAAGGAAACAACAACCAGCAGTCACAAAGGGGTGCTTGATGGAGGGTAGGGGTGTCCATGATCCACTCTTTTAGGGACTAAACACCACCCCGTTGTGACTGCTGGAAGATGTCATAAGAGGTCAACCGTCAAATGATGTGACACAGCTGGAGCTTCGTTACCGAGTTGGTTCCACTGCCGCTGGTGACAAATGACCTGTTTCTTGCCTTACTCATCAAGCCACTCCATAGAATAACTACGGCCTCTAAACAGTTCCATGAAATCGCACACAAACACCGAAGTTCCTGTGCTCATCAAGGAGTCGAACTGTCAAAGAGAATCGATCTACGATCTAAGCATTTGGATTGACACACTGTCAAGGGAAGAGGCTAAAATACCCTCCGGAGAACCACCGACGGCATCACGAGCAAAATTTGCAGGATTGCCCTTGGCATTGGGGGTTCAGGGTGCCATCACAAAAGCATGAGTACCAACATACCCTGCAAGACTATGATGTTTTGATCCACATGACCTCAGCCCTGTGGTGGCATGCGACTTGGACGTCTTTCCGACCACCATCGACAAGACTGGGCAAGTAAAAAAACTGCAGATTCCAAGTGTCAAATCTGGTCTCCGAACCCATCTTGCAGAACCAAATCCCAACACATGGACAACTAAAACAACACCTCCTATCACCGGCTCATCAACTCCCGGAATCCAGCAGAAACTCCGTATGGGTCCTTCCCCAGGAAAGCTCCGGCTTCGACCCATGCTGTTTGGGCCGCGCTTTCTTCGCGCTTTCCCACCGCGCACCCCGTGGTGTTCGCTCCCTCCGCCGGGCGACGCCCGTGCGGGTCGTCGAGCGGATCCACTGGGCCGTGCTGCAGGCCTCGGCGGACGCAGCGTTCATGGGTGGCTCGTGGGGTCGTAGCACCGGAATCGCCTTGGGGTCGTCTCAGTCGGTCGGGGACAGCAGAGCTGTAGGTTGATTTTCATGGAGGAAGGGTTTGATGGCGGTTTGATGGCAAGACCGCTATCGATCTGCTCAAGGTGATTCAAGATTTGTTCCAAGTTCAAAGAATCCGTTGGTCCAATGGATGTCCATCCGTGACTTTCGGATGGAACGGTCCCACCATGTCCCGCACATCTTCCCGACGCGACATCATTGCTCCTGGAGACCCCTGAGAGACCCCTGAGACCCCCGAACCGCAATGGTGATGGTCATATCCTGGCTCACCGTGGCCGGCGTGATGAAACAGTCCGGACCTCAGGCGTGAGGCCGCTTTTTGGGCGAAAGTTGGGCGCGCGCATGGAGGCAGGGTGGACAGGTGGCAGCTATGGGCAGCGCAGCTTAGGGAGGATGTGGATGGTTGCTGGGGACCTTTACTTTTCCGACTCAGCATGAGAATCCGACTCAGCCTTCCCATCCTAAGGCCTGTAAGGGCCCGGATTCTGCGGGTAGGGAGAGGTTTTCCAGAGTTGCCACGTGGGGCGCGAGTGGAATTTCCGAAAGTCTTTTGCTGGAAGACCATCAGAACCCCACCGTTGCGACCACATCGCGCTCAAAAAGAATTCACAATAAATATTCATCCTGCCTGCCGGACCTGCCCAATGGCATCCCGAGCAGGTCCGGCAAACCCATCTTCTTCGAATTCTCTATAGTCCTCCTCAGCCCTTTGCACTTGAAATACGCTTGACACACTAAGTCGGATGCTAGCCCTGGCGACGAATTGCTTCACCGCCTTCTCTCTGCCCATCTTAGGTCATGTTAGTCATGCCTCTACAGGAGAAAAACAAACTACACCCGGGAAAATTAGCATGGAACCATGGAACCCTGAAAACCACTGCCTTGTGCATTGGCATAGAGGAAAATGGTCTCCAAATTTTCAATGTTCAGGTTCCATGTGGGTTTCTTGCAGGGCGTATCGGGGCCACCCGCACAGCAAAAGTGGGCTGAAAGAAACGCTAAAAAAAAACGTCGCACCCCTCGAGCTTCCGGGCAGGCATTGCTGTTGCAGGCTGTTGCGCTGGAGACGGTGTAGGTGGTAGCTGGCGCAAGTGGACGAGCATTCAGAAAGATTAGTTTAAAAAAAACAAGAAGAACACGAATCCAAGAACTCATCATCACCTAAGTTTTAAGAATATATATATATATATAACTCATTGTCCTCATCATTGTCCCATCCTTCCTTCAATATCCTCCATGTTTGCTACGTGTTCCTTCCGTTTCTTCCTGTTCCGCTGCACCCCGCCGGAGACCCGCGGTGTCTGAGGCTGGGCACTGGCCGAGTCCGCCACCTCAAAGCAGCCAACGCCTCGTCCCGTGCCACGGTCACGGTCACGGTCACGGTAAGAAACCGAGACGTTTGGAGCCATTGGAGGTTTTTAGGTGCTTTTTGAGGTGTTTGTTATGTGTCTTTAGGCGTTTTTTGTCTCTGACCCCCCTCCCCAACAAAAAAAGACGGCAACACGAAACGTGCTCCATAATAACACAGACCGGGACACCATTCGAAGCAGCAAAATTCGGAAACACGCTTGTGTGATGGAGGCCTACGCCCCGCTCATAATCTCTCAAATGTTTCAACTGGTGCTCTGGAAAAATCTTAGTTGCGACCTGCTGCACCCCTGGAATTCTGGCACAGTGCCCAGCGCGCTGCCCGGCGGCCCTTGCCTGCGGCTGTACCAGTGGTAAAAAAGCCCGCCAGGCGTCGCTTCTCCTGGAGCCATGAGCGAACTAGTGATCACCAAGGGCGGAAAGAATGGTCCAAGCTGTTGTCTAACCAAATTAAATGGAAAAAACAATTAAGACTGAATACTTCTTGCACAAGTAGCCACTGAGGTTCCTAGGCATCTGTATTGCAACACCCGTTCCAGGCGGCGAATGTTGCATGCTGTGGCTACAGCCACTGGTCAGGTTTGGCACATTGGTCACTCGCTGCGCCCCCCCAGGCACAAGCAAATCCCTGCTTTGACGCAACACTCACATTAAAGGACCCACGCAACCCCGGATGACCATAGGCGTTTGGAGGATTTAGATCGTTGCCGCGGCGTAAGTACCTTTCTTCTGTACCTGCATCATGGTGCTCCAGAAATGTTCAAAAAAAGGGCGGCACCTCCCTTCAGGGCGTCCCAAGGTGCTGGGCCTTGAGCAACACACAAACACATGAAAACCGCTGACACAATTGTTGAGTCAGGATACCTGGACTCCGGCTGTGATTAGTTGTGATCAAGTCTTTGATGCTGATTTTGCTGTGATGTGATGAAGCACACACCGCCCAAAAAAACGAAAGCCAACAACCAGCCATTGACACCTCCAACAGGCCTGATCGAAATGTGCCGAGTCTAGACTGGGCCGTCCTCTTCTGCGCCGATGGGCACTTCGAACGCAGCCATGTGCCTCGGTGGGCGAAACATGGTCAAAAGGCTGACAGGAATTGGAGAAAAAAACACCTGTTGACCCGGCCGACCGCACCATAGCCTCGGTACACTCACATACTGGCCAGTGCACAGGATCTAGGAAGGCCTAACCAACCTACCCAAAGCAAACACTGCCATGAACATGACAATGAATCAACAATTCCTCAAATCCAACTCCAATTATACCCCAATGCCCCAAACCCAACCCCAAGAAGGGACCCGCAGAACGGAAGGGCGGCTCCAAGCTCCGTTGCGGCGCCCCCCCCCCCCCTCGACGCTGCGTCGAGGTGCCCAGGATGCACCTCTTCCACTCGATGCTCTACGGGTCGTCGGAGCCTGTCCTGGTCGGAGAACTTGGTGTCAACAAGGCCTTCAACCCTCTTGGCCAACGGGGTCAACAAATCCAAGCCCCAGCAAAAAGGGACAACATAAACAGCGACATCAGACATCCATCAATCCAGTGAAGCACAGGTGGCACAAGTTGACGATTGGGTGCCAAAGGCTCAGCAAAGCCTATCTTTCTTAGCCATCCACGTTGGGGAAAAGACCTGCTGTCAGCAGCAGACTGGGTCTGGGTGGTTCATGACCGACTAGTATGACCCTGAACTAGGACCTCGTGGAGTACCCAACTGGGATAGTCGATGTGGGGTCCTTCAACCTCTGGTGGTCAGCCGTGTTTTCAGGCTCAGTTTCGCCTCCTTAGAGCCCACGGTCTTTGCGAAGCGTTGAGGCCTTGGGCGGTGGAAACTCGCGGAAGACGAGAAACGACGGGTTTACGTTTACGCCATGGCCGCTGATCGGAGGGGGTGGCAGGAGGTTGGGGACATGCGGCACTACAGTGCATGCTCGACGGATTGTTCCGATTGTTCTCTAGAACCACTGTGGTTGCATCTTCCTCTGGCATGGCCTCCGCGGCTTGTGTCGGTGTCTATGCTTCAAGCATGCCTGCCTCCTCTTGGTTCAGGGGTTGAGAAGTAGCTTGGCATCGTTCGTTTGGCGTTTCTGATGTTGGTTTTGGGAGTGCTGTTGTATCTTCAGCCGTTGCTCCCGCCCTCGCATCCCCAGCTGGCCTGACCTGCGGGCAGCAGCAAGCAGGAGATATGGAAGGCGTGTCCTTCTGGTATGGAAAAGGTCACTTTTAAGCATGAAAGGAGGATGGTTACCTTGCTTTGCACAGGAGGATGGTCCATAAGAACCACATGAGCTCACAGGTAGCCGCGTGTGGTCGCCCGGCAAGAAGTGGTTTTTTTGGCCCAAAGAAATGGCGGGAGGGCGACATTTCCACACCCAAGGTGTTTACATCGCCCCTGGGCCCTTCATTACACAGTCACTCTTTGCCTCTGCAAGGTGCTGCTTCCAAGAAATGTCGACACCGCAATGGAGAAACGTCGATCCAAGCCGCACTTGGCGTTTTTGAGGGACTTCGCCAGCTCGAACCCCCGGAAAGTGAAGGATCAACGTCCTCGCTTGCCCCCCCAGCTCCTCCCAGACGACTGACTCACGAGCCGGATATTTTTTGGAGAAGAAAGGTCAAGTTTTTTCCACCTGTTCTTCGCCTTTAACGAGACCAATCCCCCAACAAGTTCGGTTGGACAGGTGATCCGAAGGGAGAGGCGCTGCAGCCCAGGTACTCACCTTTGGAATCCAAGAACTTCTCACTGGCCACGCGCGGCACGCTACACGGCGCGTGGGCGCGGACACAGCGGATGGACTTCACATATCGGGAGGTGAATAGAAACCTCAAAAGTGCAACATATGTCACGGCATGCCACATCAACCCAGACCGTCAGGCGCTGATAGATTTGGAATCCTCATGTTGCAGAATCAGCTCCCTTTTGCTGCTGCAAGAGATAGGGTCTCAGAGCCTTTGGGAAACACGTGGGGGCACATGGCCCTGAACTCTGAAGCAGCCGCTTGCTGGCAAACACTGGGGCACGGATCCAAGTGCTCTATCACTCTATGGGAAAAGGGGAAAAGGATGTTTTGCAAGAAATTGCAGAACTAGGGTGCCGTTGAAAAATCACATATATATATATATACAGTATGTGTTTTTCTCTTTTTTTTTTCGGTGAGTGTCATCTATGGATATCTATCAGGTGGTTCCTTTGTGCTGGCGGTGTGAGGGACGCATCGTTTCACAACCAAGCTCTCCGAGCTCCAAATCCTTCATAGCCTCTTTACCTCTCTAACAGCACCAACACCTGCATCTGAGACATCTGTGTGGGGGTGTGCACTTTCTCATCCTACTACTCGTCCTCACGATGTGCTTGCATGGTCCATACACACTGGGGCCGGTGGCTCAAGCCCTGCACCTGTAATTAAGTCACAAACAATCCGTGGATAGGAGATGAACCAACCACATAAAATTACCAATGTCCGATTTCCCATATGTTTTTGGGACAATTTCCCATATTCGATCCAGATTCTATCTATTCCAGGATGACGATTGTGGAGAACACCCAGCTTCAGCTCCTCGCCTGCCAGGATGCACCAAGAGGTGTGGCCTGCACCATCGTCCGTTCGTGGCCGGTGATCGCTGTGCCGTTCGGGCCGCCGGGTCAGTCTATCGGAGACGCCGTCCAAGGTCCTCAAACACACACTCACACGGGCACTCTCTCTCACATGTACATAACGCATATAGTATACCATAGAATACCTATGTATACCTTACGGTGTGAGGTTAACGGTTAGTTAGATGGAAGCTTGCATCGGATGAATACCAATAGAAAAAGGGTCCCTGAGTCGGATCAAGGAGTCGTCATGGCTCCGCTGCCTCAGGACGTCGGCGTGGACCCTCCACATCGATTCACCCAGACCGCGAGTCGAGTCGGCTTTCGTCCGTCATCGGTTGAGTCAACGATACTCTTCACGGTCTGTCAGGGCACCTCGCTGCCCCTTTTCATCCGCTTGCCGAACGTCAGGGAATCGGTTCAGGTGATCCACGGTCTGGTCCAGGGTGGTAGGGTTTTGACACACAGCCCACATGTTGTCATCCATAGCTCCAACCAATCTAGGTGCTGTGAGTCATGTGACATCACACGGTGAGCCTTGGATGCTTCATCCAGGGCATTCCAGGGCCCCGCGCCACTTGTCTTTGGCCATTGCAGTGAGTTGACCACGAAGGTCCTGCAAATGGTCGGACTGAAGGATCATCTGCTGAGGATCTGACCCAAGGATCTTTGGTCTGACTACGTAAGACCTCCTAAATGTCCTAAATCTCATTTTGGATGAAATGTCATCTGGTTGATCTGACCGAAGGATCTTCTGAGTAGCAAAAAGGTTGGCAGAAGATTGGCAGATCTGCTGACCCAATTTCCAGTAGGCGAATTTCTGTTACAGTGGTTTCAGAGCACATGGTACAAACACAAAAATGTCCTTTATATGGGGGTCTACCATAAACAACTGACACCACTGTAATACCCACTTCGCTGGTAGATTGCTCTGTGTTGCCCTGCCGCTCTCTGGAAGATCAGCCCGGCCGAGTGAAAAGAAGCCAAACATACATCCCGCAAACATGGAGTGGTATTGGAGAAAAAAAAAAACGTTTAGACAAAGGTAGAAGCAGGATAAGCACCGAGCCCTGGAGTTTGGCAACCCTCGGCAGGCAGAGTTTGGCGCCCCGCCATGCCCACGTTCATCCACACAGTCAGATTTTTCAGCAATCCTCTTAGAGCCAAAGAACGAAGTGATTAATTAAAGAAGTTCCTCTTTCTCTATCACATGTGTCTGCAAGACCAAGTGTTGGAAAACAACGATCCCTCCCTTCTTTTACCAGGTGGGCCCCTGCCCTAGCCGTTCATCCTGCTGCTCTTTATGCAGGTCGTCGATGATGCGATACCTCAAGAGCTGGCAGCCCCCGAGCAAGAGATCGAAGAAAGGTGAGCTGAACTGTCCACCTGTAGGATCTAAATCGGAAAATTAGTCTACAAAAAAGTAATTGCAGGTTACCCACTGGCTGGGTAGGATCCTTTCCTTTCTTCTGGAAAGGGCGGGGCGCCTCGCTAGTTCTCGCGCCCTCGACAAGCATGCATGCGGGAACAAGTGCGTATTTTTTGTGATGGGGTTGAGCCATTTGGGTCATCTGGGATGGAACTATAAACTGCACAAGGGCATGGTAGCCGCAGTGGCTGAATTTAACCTGGCCAAGCTTTCTCAGCAGCATAGCAGCGGCAGCTGCCCGTGAAAGAGTGCCTTTAAAGTGAACCGGTATCTGACTAGAACCTTTCATGAGGTTAGCCTCAAGTGAAGGCATGCAGTCTCAGTTTTGTGAGTTGCAACGTTTTAAGAATCCCAGGATCAAACCTTAAATTAAGTCTGAAACACAAAGCCTACCACTTTTTGAGCAAACTTTCTTGCAGCCTGTGAGAAGCCATGCGCAAACACAAAAGAATGAGATACATGTTGCAGTTCCAGAAGCATTGAAAAGAAACCAAGGAATTGCAGCTGCAAGGGTGAGGTACTTACAGAAGCTGTGCTGTTGTTCAAGGGTTCTGCCCAGTTACGGCCTGCTTAAAGCATGATAAAACAAATGGGCCTGGTGGCTTTGGGGCTTAACACTGGCATCGTTCCAATGAAAAACCATGCAACAGTAAATCCAGTAGGGCATGCGTGACTGGGCCCTTTGAAGAATGCTTTCTTGTACGAAAAGGCCCACGTTCATTCACTTGGATGGGCAAGGGTGGGTCATGAAGACTTCGCAGAGGGCAAAGTCACCCCCTCTTGTTGCTGAACATCTTTGGACCGGTATATATTATATATGGCTTTGGGTCCAAACCGGGGAACCCTGGTTGACCACAGAACATGAACAGAATAGACTACTGGGGAGGTCAACCAACCAGGGTTTAAGGGTTCCGGTTTTGACACGAACGCCTAACGTCGAGAAGGAGAAGGCCCGCCAGTTCGCGGGGGCCAGTCCGTCCACCCCAACACGCCGTCTGCGGCGCCTAAGGCGGAAATCCCACAGGGGCATCCAAGAAGTTCACAAGAAGGTGGATGTTGGGCGCTGATGTCCAAGTACCATACAATTGACCATGCTGTCCCACACCACTCCCATGCGTGCACTCCGCAGCTGGCATCCCCGCAGAAGGGGAGGGTGAACCCCCACACTTCAGAGTGGCAAGTCAAGTTCTTTACCTGATACCGTGCCCTGCCAACTTGGTGCCGGACATGTAGACGATGAGGGTGCCCATGGCCAGAAGTACTAGACCCACCTCACTCACTCCGGAAAATCCACTCGATCCCTCCAAGCACGCTGGCGACGTTGTCCAGCCCACTGGAAGACTCAGCTGTCTGTGGATGGTAACCACTTATCCCTAGGGTTCCAACTACAAGGTGGCTAGGGTGGGTGCCAAGGAGGTCTAACCACCGGTCACCTGAGGATATGGGCCAGGAGCCCTAGCACCTTGTCCACTTGATTTGTTCGATGCCTCTATGTCAGGATGTTTCAGGAATGTTCCTGGGCCATTGGACATTGGTTGCCAAACATGACATATGATATTTTTTAAACTGAAGATGGTGCGGAAACACCCCCAACTGAGGCATAGAAAGTGAACTTATTCGACATCTTTGACGCCTGATCGGCAAATCCCAAATGTGCGTGGGTGTCGCCAAATTTGTCTAGCTAAAGGGAACCAATATTCAAAAAACAACACCTGTTTACATGTGTTTGAATATTCTTAGTGGTTTGATAGCTGATAGGTGTCACTCCACTTGCACAAATACGGCGCTGAGCATTCGCAAGCTCTTGCAACGAAGCGATGCCTGGCCTTGCCATATGGAGATTCGATGATACAAACATATTGTTCTGTATTCTTCACCTCGGCATTTTTTCCTGGGCCATTGACGTGTTTGAAGGCTTTGAAGGTTTACCATTTCACATCGTTTCGCATCATTTTGCTTCAATTGTTTCATGCCACGAAGTGCTAATGCGCTTCGAATCGCCATTGCCTATTATGGTTCTTTCCAAGTTTTATCCTAAGTGACTGCTCATCTACGCCACTCCCAGATCCTTTCAGCGATTCATATGATGTGGCCATTTTCTGGTTTTTCTTCGTTTGTTGGCCCCACGGGATGATGACAGCCTCGATGAATGACAGGGATTGAATCGATGGCGGTCACATATGGCCACCCTTATCTTCAAGGACCCCTTCTTCCTCGTCGAACTCCAACGCCACACCTGGAGCGCCACCGAAGGCAGAGCCTTTTCTTCCGGATCAACCCCGGTTTGAGCTCCCCCACCATGATCTGATTCAAATGGGGCCGACTGCGAGGCACCTGCCACACGAAGTCACGCCAGCGGGGTTTCTGGTCCGGCGCGGAAGATAAACATGATTCAAGTGGCGCATGGTACCTAAACATCAGCATGAAGACCCCCCTAAAAGATTGCAGGGCAGGCCTCTCCTTGAAAAGAACGGGCGATGTTGTGCCTGGGACTTAAGTTGGTTCATTCCGTCTTTGAATACCTTGGAAACGTCGCACGGAGGGCACTGATGAATACATTTGAATACCTTGCCCAACCCACTCAGCAGCACGGATGAACATATGGAGGGGAACCCTCGAACGGCGGGCCGCCCGGTCACCCCACAAAGGCGCACCGTAGTCCCATCCACTTTCGCAGCTCTCACCATGGTCACCTGGCGCACAAGACCGGAACCACAATCCATTTGGCACACTTGCGTGCCCAGCGAGGTTGCGATGGTTTATGTGGAAGGTCTGGCAGCACCGTTGTTGCCACCCTTGTTGCCCGTCGCAAAAATCGTAACCAACAATCGCAAATGGAAACTCACACAAACCCTGGTAAACTGGGTTTCTGTGACCATCGCGCACCCCAACATATATATATATATATTATATATACATTTACGGCGTAACCTCAACGCCGCTGCTTGGAGCAAGTTGGGGCATCCCGGGCCTACGAAAACAATCCCGAATGCCTCACGCAGACCGCGCCTTTCGGCAAAGCTGCGCAACAAAACTTTTAGCCCATATGCAGTCCAAACCAGCAACACGCGATGTCTCCAAGTGGTGTGGCTGGGGTGATCGGCGCACAGCCGGGAAGGATGTCCGTCTCAATGGCTGGCCACATGTTTTTCAATGCGCTGCCGATAGCCTGCTTGACCACATGCCAAACTTAGCACTGCAACCCTTGTGTTGGACGATTTGCCCTTGAAAAGCGCAGCTGCGGATTAGAATTGAGCAGCTGTGCCATGTGAAAAGTTATGTTCCAGCCTGAAAAAAGGTTTCTTCATGCTGGCACCACTCCTTCACATCACCTAGTGTGCTTCCCGCGGTCCCAGCTGTCCCGAGGCGGAAGCCACAGAATGACCTATCGTGGGCACCCAACCACAACAACAACAACAATAACAACAACTTGCAAAACAACGCCGGACGTTTCAATGGCGTTGGAGCTAACAACTGAGCTAACACAGAAATAAAAGCAGTAAGGGAGAGTGGACAAAACAATACCCTCGCTGGGTTGCGTGCCACGTGTGCCACAAGGTTTTTCCTGGTCAAATCGCCGAACTCACACGTGCTACACGGGTTTCATGTGCCTTCTCGTGGATTCGTGGGCACCATTGCTGGTCATTTTGTCGCGCAATAAACAAGGGATTTGGCCCTCAAACCCAGCGGCCTTGGCAGGTGCAAGTAGTCAAACGCGCACCATGTCAAAGCGCAGTTTCTGTGGCGCAATGTGTTTCGAATGGAGCTATGGGGTCCGACGCCTAGGTCATTGTCTATTTAACTATCAACACTCGCCTACACGACGCACTGCCAGCCCGAAGGGTTCTTCTTCCAGTGCGCAACTCTCGGCAGAACTGGCGCACGGGCAGCCCTTCCCACGCTCACCCACCGCCACAGCCGCCTGCGCGCCGGTGAGATCCGAGGGCGCCTGACATCGAATTTGCTCTTTGCCTGTGCCTTGCGCGCCGGTGAACATCCCATCGGCGCCTTTGGCCCAAATGACAACGGACAACACGGAATGGACCGGGACACTGCAGGAAAAGAAGCGCAAGAAGAAAGGGTGTGAGTCCAGCGATTGCTGTCCAAGTCATTGCACCGTCACACCGTGGCTTGTAGCACCCCGGCCCCACGCTCGTCGGAGCCTCCATTTGGCGCCTTGGCGGGCCGAATCGACTTGGACGGGAGGTGGCCGGATGGGGGAGGGTGGGAGGAAGCACAACTTGGAGTTCTTTGACGTTAAGGCCAGTGCTGCACCACAGCAGCTGCATGTTGTCTGAATTTTGTTCCACCCACTCTGCAATGAATCACACTGGCATAGACCCCAGATAGCAGGCGCTGATGTAATTTACCTGGCGTGGCATGATGCCTCCCCTGGCATGACATAATGATGTCATCCCTCGCAAGACATGATGTCATCCCTGGACCGTAAAACGAAATGCCGATCCAGAGCCAGCGCCTGCACCAGCACGGCACCAGCGCCGGCAAAACGAAAGCACCAGCACCAGCACGGCAGCAGCACCAGCAAAAACGCCGATCCAGAGCCAAGGAAGCAAGCCAATGCACGAAGGTCATTCTGCCCTGAACAACTGACGTAAAAAAACCTCTTCCAACTCAGCAGCAGGCGTCACAGCTGAGTGGTTGGCCTCTCGCCTGCTTGGGAACAAGCAGGCGTATATCAGCAAACCGCCTCCAATGTCGTGTCCCTGCTGTTTTCGGAAAGCCCTTCGCACAACAATATCCCAACTGTGTTGTCTGTTGGCTTGACCCAGCTGTTTCAGCTGTCTGGACGTCGAAAGCTCCACCAACGTTTCCAAACTTGAAAGAGTCTTGAAAGAGATCGATCGTGGATTCGTTGAAGATTGCGATAATGAAACCACGACTGTTTGGAACTGAGGTGAAAATTCGGGTATGGCCAGGGGAGTGGATGTACGCAGGGATGCGTGATCCCTGGATGGTGCGAACAAAACACTATTAAAGCAAATCGAGCAAATCGAACACGACGTGTCGGTTCACTATTATAGTCTTATTCACACTTTTTCGCTTCAGTCCTGAGCCAAGTATTGGCATCGTCGCTTATTATTTCTGTACACATCCAATGCTGCGCATCAAGCAAACGTGTAAATTTCAGAGGTGTCTGGCTTCATACCTGCACTCAATGCTAGGTCTTCCTTTTAACACCATGCGCTTACCGCACTCCATGCAAGGTCTTCCATCTATACCAGGGATTTCACAAACTTGGATTTCGGAATCCAACAAGTGCGAATCTAGGCAACTGTCAAAGGTGCAGATGAGCACATAAAACGCCGAAAAGGTTTGTCAACCTCGCAAGTGGCTGCACTCCAACGAAAACAACTCACCTTACTTTTGGTAGCAAGCAAATCCCGTGAACACCAAGATCCAGCATGCACGTGTGGTCTCTGACCAACACTCCAAGTTCACGCACGTACTCACGCTGCCAAGCGGGAGAAGTCGAGAACGCAAAACTTCCTCAAGCACACGACCTCATCCCCACGACGATCTCGGTCGTCAAACTCAAGCAAAGCCAAAACGTGCAACTGATGCACTTGGGTAAAAACAGGCGTCAGCCTGCGCCCTCGGATCACACGCACTGCATCGACAAGGATTCAAGTACACACATGCGAGAATGCTCCTGACTGCTTCTGGGATGGACTCACCGTATGGTGCAAAGATCTGGAAGTCTTCTGATGCAACGAATGTGGAACACTTCCGTGTATCAGACAATCGATCAAGACGGCAAGAATTCGGATGGATGCAGTGAGCATACAGGACTGTCCTCCTGTTCTGAGTTCAAACGGTTTAACCATCTCAAACACAAGCGCCAAACTGCTTCGGTCACTCTGTGCCCTTCAAACCTCTTCAAGACCGAATGCCCTCGCGGGGTGGTTGGTCGAAATGGCTTGCTTCAAAGACAACTGTTCTGACACGGATGTGTCCTCAAGAACTGCCCTTCCTGAGTGACAATGCTTGCAAGAACAATTGTCCCACATGCAGGGTTGCGCATTCAACAGGGCCAAGGAATCTAATCTTCAATATTCAACAGTGCTGGCTCTGTTGTCAAGAATCAAGTTAGGAATCTCTCTTTCGGGTTTATCGGACGCTATCCTTGCTCTAGCACGGAGATCTGTGTTTGTCTAAAGATATAGTCTAAACTATTCGTGAATGGTTTAGAATATTCGCAGCCCCCCCACAAACATATGATCTCTGCGCTTCATATCTTATCTCTCTATTTATCCAAGACAATCTCGGCACCGATCACTGTGTGCCGAACGTGACCGCAATGCTCTGCATGGAAACACTCACCGGTCAGCGTTGTCAAGATCTTCTCAGGTCCACGACTCACGGGCATAGCGACGATCTCGGTCTGAGTTCCTGCTTCGACCTTGAATCTTCGTTCAGGCTTCATGAAGCAGAACCACACACTCAACATGCCAATGCTCATAGTCAACACTCCACCGACGAATCCACTGTCGGTGAGAAGGAACCACATGCTCAACATCCCCTCCATGACTTCCATCATCTCAAAACGTCACGGAAGCTCGACTCTTTAAGTGTTCTCCAATGCTCTGACAGATTCCTTCGGTCATGGGATTAGGATATGCACCTAGACTAGTCAAGTTCTGTTGTCCAAATGGCATATGCTTCTGACAGATACAAGTACGCTTCGGCGTGAGTCCCCAAGTAGTCTGTATACGGTATGTATGGTTCGGCTTTAGTTCAGAATCTGAAACGTCGTTATCATAACTGCAGCGATGAAACATACTTGTAGAATACAGTCTGAACTCTTCCATCAAACTCCGAACTAAGTGGGGTTTCCAGTACATACACCATCTAGACACTTCAAGACTAATGTGATCTGCTATTCGAAATATCGCGATACATGCTCTGATGATGCGACGAAACGTCACAAATCTCTCTGCCGCTCTCTGTTCGGTGCCTGAACTCAAGTGCTGTGCTGGCGAGCCACCCGTGCACGGCGGTGATGCCCACACATACAGTGTGAATGAAAACAGGCTTGTCAATCGTTCAAGCTCGGATTTCAGCTAATTTGCACTACACTTCGAGGTGTCATCGTTTTCGGTGACTTGAAGCACGAAGAACTTTTTCTTGCAAAAGGTTCGTAAATGCAATTGCTGAATCCACTCTTTCGATCTGTGCAAATTTCCAGCAAAACGACAACTGAGACATGTTGCTTGAGCAACGCTTCCAACTCCACACATCGATCAAAGACAGAAGGAACCTCTTCTGCACTCAGCGATGCAACAACATGAGAGCTCTTCTTACCGGGTTTGTTCTGGGTATTTTGCCATTCTTCTGGTCGATCAGTTTCCACAAAACCTAAAAGCTTAGGCAATTCCATCGTTGTGTTTTGGTCGGTGATTTTTGTGAAAAGATCAGCGATTTGAACCTTGGCGCTTACCCAAACAATTTCCATAACTCCGTGGCACAACAAACGTTGGATGAAGTTGAATGCAATGGACTTAAATGTCTCGTGCGTCGGCTGAATCCATCACCTTTGAAAAAGAACAAAGCCAGATGCGGAATCGGTAAAGATGCGCGGAACATACCTTTTGGCAACTCTTCAACATCTTTATCTAAAAGTTCACGACTCGCGGTTACATTTTTGTCTGTGATGCCTTCTAGAAAAACGATCATCTGCAATGCGCCAAGCGTTTCCTGACATCCTTGTGCACAGGCCACCAACTCAGCTTCGCATTCTGATAGCGAAATACATTGTTGGACTCTTGACACAGCTTTGAGGAGATTACCTCGCCACAAGATACAGTATCCACTGCTTGAGGTCTCTTTCCAAGATGCGTCACAATATAGCTGAACGCCTGATCCATCATCCTTGCGGAATTCCTGCCACAGATGCAGGCTAGACTTTAGAAAGCGAAGCAGTTTCTTAATTCCAACCTCGTGCTTATGTTGCGCTTGCGCCTGACCGGTCGAAAGGATACTGATGAAACGCAGTATATCTACTCGTGACTGAGCCCACCAAGCAATTTTACCCAACGT